GAGTGTCTTCTTTGTTGGTTGAACTTTGCTATATCAATTTTATTTCCATCACTCAAAAGTTCTAAACTATTTGCCATTGCTAGACATACTGCCCCGAGCATTAAAATCTAATAAATACATACATTTGTGTTCGGTGGGATCCGTCTGCAGACCCCAAATCACTGTGCACAGCATGGATCTACTCCTGCTGGTTCCCCACACCCTCTATACTTTCTGCAATGATTCCCTTTTTCTACCTCCCTGTAGATTTTAGCTCAAGCAAGATCTCTAGAAGTGAGCAGAATTTTAGGTGGCCAAAGACCTGCATAATCAGAGTGTGTAAGGGTAGGACCCCCCAATAATGGTGGCAACCCAGCAAAAGTTGCCCGCGCTGCTCTTCATAGAGACACATGCAAAACAACTACATCAGACACAGTGAAGGAAGGCAGCTGAATTCAGGAGAGCACCATCAGATTCACTTCTCTTTTAACATAACATCAGATAATTATTTACATTCATCTATAGTTTTCTTCAGGTAGAAGCATTTTTCTTAGAGAACCATTAAAATAATATTAAACTGATTCTAGCTTAATTATATATATATGTGTGATTAATATGAGTTTAATATGCATATGTATATGATTTCAAATTTCCACAGTATTTTTATAAGCAAATAAATTGATCTTTGTATGCAAACTGGCTGGGTTTATGGGTGGTCCTACCATTCTAAACTTCTGAAGAATTTGGAGATTCAAGTTGCTTCAGCTCAGTTTCTTTAGCATGGTCAGCAGCCCAGGAACCATATTTAAGCATCCATGATATTACAGTCACAAAACACTACCCTGGAGGGATCTACCGAGTAGCATTGTCGCTGCATTACTTATCTTTCAAGTCTGAAAGAAAATGCTGTCAACACAGCTTCTATCCAGTAAAATAGACTATTATCTCAGTACTGGATTAATAATCTATTGCTGCATAGTGTATTACCCCCAAACTAAGTGTTTTTTTAAAAAATGCACATTTTTTCAAAGTTTCTGTCCATCATGCATGGCTTAGCTGGGTTGTCTACTTCAGGATCTCTCACAAGACTGTCATTCAGGTGTCAGCTGAAAGTTGCAACGTTATCTTAAGCTTGGAAAAATTCTTTTCCCTATTCATGCATGTGATTATTGGCCATGTGATGACATAAGCTTTTGGACTGAGGATTTCGGTTCCTTAATGGCTGTTGGCTGGAGACCAACAGTGTCTTGCCATGTGAGTCTCTCCAGCATGGCTGCTTACTTCACCAGAGCAGGCAAGCAAGAGGAAAAAGAGAAAGTGTCAGCAAGGTCAAAGTCACAACCATCACTGTT